GATTTCTGGCCAGTCCCTAGGGATAGGGAAAACATTCCTACTGATGACAAAGTTAGAATTTTCTGAATGCCTGTTTGAGAGCTCAGATTTAGATTTGGTTCATTTAAATTAAATCATAAATGCTTTTCTTGCAAATCCAACTTTATGGGGGAGGGGGTTTATACATAATACACATATTTTATAGAATCATCTATTCATTGGAGAGTCAAGAGGTAGGAAATCACTATCAAATCTACAATTGATTTATTTTATTCTTGTTCTCTATTTCTTTTGTTGTTGTTTCTAATGTGTTGTAATCTGACAATGGCAAATTAAAGGCTCCGAATAAAAAGATATTTCCATCTATCTTTCCTTGTGGTTTTCGTAATATTTCTATTATTCAGTAAGTTGTCTTGTGTTTCATTTATTGATTATAACTGTTGGATAAAAATGGCATGTTTTTAAAATACTTTTCTTATGTTTCTTTCCTATTAATATTTCTATCTCTGATTTTTAAACGAATTTATTTCATTGCCCATTTAATTTACAATAACCCTTTTACTTTTAATCGTTGTCGTGTCATTCAGAACTAAGTTCAAACCCTAACTATGGCTTCCCATGTTTTCCCCTTCCCAGCCCCACCTGGCTACCTCTCTGATCCCCTTCTCTACATTTTTTTCCACACTCAGTCCTATCTACCTACTGAGTCCTGCTTCCCAATGTTTTTTTTTCTTCTCAAGTTCTGTCTATCCCTTTGCCTGCACCATTTTTCTATAGATAATCCCATATCTCACTCCCTCACTTCCTTCCAGTCTCTACCCATGTGACAATTTAACCAAGAAGTATTCCCACACCTCCTATTCTGTTTCTTCTTCATTCACTTAGCTATCACTATATACACTTTAGTATTAATATATGTTTAATGTCCCCTGGCATGTGACTGTAAACTCCATGACATAAAAGGTTGTGTTTGTTCTTATCACTGCAGTTTTCCACTACCGAGAATATAACCTAACACATAGTAGACGCTCAATAAATAATATGCTGTATGTAAATACACTAACGCTATTCTGTTTAAGGTATGATTATGCAAAATCTCTAGTCGACACCTCCCATTGTTCATTCTAATTTGAGAATTTGTGATTTTTTTTAAAGGAAATTTAAAATAGTCCTATCTACTATTTATTGAATATGTTGGTTTATTTATAGCCTGCCCCAGGCTCATTTATTCATCTGAGCTAGAATACCCAATCCCATCTTTAGGAAAAAATCCTGCTCTTGAACATTCTCTTTGATTTAATCACGTGTTTGTTTTTTATGGTAATAATCAGAGACTAATAAGCATGTCCCTTGGAATAGTTTCCATTTCTTTTGTACTTTCTTTCACTACAAAATACTTGAGAAGAATAAAGTGATAATAAATTTACCTTTGAACACTTATATTCTGTGTCTTTTGGCCTGAGGCTAATTCAGGTAAAGGTTATCTCACTCTCGGTTTTGGCTTCCACTTGAAAATGTTTTATTTGCAATTCTGTCCTTTAACACAGACACTTCAGTTTTCCGCTATTCCGCTTTAAGGCCCTGGCTCAAATGGGAGCATTGTGGAAATCTACTCTTGAAGGGCTCCTTCTCAAATTTAAAGCCTCATTTTGGGGGCTTTGCTAACACAATGGAAGGTTCTCAAGGTTTTCTGTAACAGGTAAGAAATATGATCTTCTGAGAAAATATCCATAAATTGCATTAGTCATATTCTAATTTTATATATTCACCTATCACATTTCGTTGAGCAATTTCATGAGAAAATACAGGGTGGTCTATAGTCAGATTGAGAAATCGGCCATTGTTTGGTGCTTCAGAGGTAGTAAGGTCAGGTTTGCTTTCATTTCATAGGTTCCTCTTTTTTTAACTTTTTAAAAAAATTGAAATATAACATACATACAGAAAATTGTACTTGAGCGTACAGCTTGATGAACTTTCTCAAAGCAAATATTCTGTGTAACAACCACCAGGACCAACCATGAAATATTTTCAACACCTTAGAAGATTCACTTACGCATTTTACTGCTTCATTCCTTCCAAAATGTAACTACCCTTCTGACTTTTAAACCCATGAAACCATTTTGCCTGTTTTGAAATTTAATTAAAAGAAATCATGTAACAGTGACCCTATACCTTCTATTATTTTTTAAAAAAAATTTTATTGGGGAAAAGCCATGGTCATTGGCTACACATTGCTTTCATGCTACAATGGCATAGTTGACTCTTTTAAGGAGAGCACAGCTCACAGTGGCCCATGGAGGGATCGAACCGGCAACCTTGGTGTTATCGGCACCATGCTCTAACCAACTGAGCTAACTGGTCATCCCAAGCCTTTCTAATTTCAGCCAGTTTTCTAAGTTCATATTAGCATCTCATTACAGTTTTAATCTAAATTTTCCCAATTATTTCTGAGGTTCAACACTTTTATATTATTCTTGGACTTTTGCACATCCTCTTTTGTGAAGTTCCTGTTCAAGTTTTTGGCCCACTTTTTTCTATTCGTTTTCTCATTCTGTTAAACTTACAATTAAAAAACACTATAAGGGAAAATCATAGGGGAGATCTCAAATGTTCAATAATATAGATTTAACTCAATGTTGATTATATTTCAAACAGGATTTATGTGGTAATCAAAAAGATGAATATGAAAATACAAAGAATCAATACAACCAAGAAAATACTGAACAAGAAGAAAGTGGGAGAACCTAGTTCACCAGATATTAGGATGTATTATAAAACTACAGTAATTTACATGGCATGATTTTTGTGCAAGTACAGACAAATATTGGGTTGTCAGAAAAGTCATGACATATTTTTTCTATGTTTTTCATTGCAAAAATGCGTCATGACTTTTTCAACAACCCAATAGAACAATGGAAGTGAGCTGAAGTGCAGAAATAAAACCATGTATGTATCGACAAAATTTTATGACACACCTGGTATTGGACAGCAATGGGTAAGCAACATTGTTTTTAATAAACGGTGTTGTGTCAATTAGATTCCAAATGAAAAAAGAACCTGAATGTTAACCCATTCCTCACACTGAATTCAATAATCAATTCCACATGAAATATAGATCCAAATTCAAATGGTAAAATAATGAAGCTTATTTAGATAACAACAAAAAATAACATAATGACTTTGGGAAGGCAAATATTTTCACACAAAATTATAAAGTGAGCATTTATGAAAATGAACTTCATCAAAATGAAGAACTTATCTTTATCAAAAGACACCACTGAATAATAATGTAATCAACAGGGACAGAAAATATATTGGCAATACATAAAGGACTCATATCCAGAACATATGAACAACTTTTAATTTTGATGAAGTTCAAGTTAACTTTTTTCTTTTTGAATCATGGCTTTGATTTCACATCTAAGAAATATTTGGTTGTCTCAAAGATACAGAGATTTTATTTTATGCTTTCTCTGTTTTGTCGTCAGGATTTCTATTGGTCCTATATTCAAAACTGTGAAATGAATAATTATAACATAGAGAGGAAACCCACAAATTCATAATCAAAAATTAGTACATGAAAAATCCAAAGCTCTTATCCAACAAAATCCATGGCTACATTAATCTACTATTTTATAGGAGATCCAATATCCTGTTTTTTTAATATGACATTTTCTTGGTGGGTAGAGATCAACTATCAAATAGATTGAATCTAATAATTCTTTGAATTTTCTGCTGTTTTCCTTGATTATATATTTTATAATAGAATATAGGGAATTGATACCTAAAAAAGACATTTTATTTGTGTGAACTCTCAATATCTTTAAACAGTTTTCTTAATTTATATGAAATTGATCTTTCAAAAGATTCAATCAGGCTAACAATGAGGCAAGCATTCTATAGAGCATGTAATTCTGCCTGCAGAAAATTTGAAAATGTAGTTAATCACTTCAGGAAATAATACAAATATATAATATTTCTGTAATTTCCATAGGTTAATTATGACAATTAACCCTACATTCAGAAAATCAACCAAATGCTGCATGGCCTTCCCTTCCATTTCCTACATGACGTCATCTCTGTACCAGATGAACTGAGCAGCATTTGAGGGAATATACATCATTACTTATCTATCACTGACTGGTTATTTCAAGAGTATATGATCAATTTATTTGAATTTATCCTAGAAAGAGAGATGTAGTTAGGAAACTACTAAAAGTGTCTGGTAAATGGATTGGTGGATTAGAAACACTGTGGGAAGTTAATGAGAAAGGAGAGCTGCCTCCAATGCCATGACAGAGGGGAAGAATCTCAGTATCACTCTGAGAAGACAAGAACTCCTTTAATCTCCACACTTACTTAGGTATGATTGTTGACCTTTTGTAATACCACACATATATTTTTATCTAAACTTTAAATCAAACATAGGAATGGAAAACAAATTTGCAGTTCTTATTGTGAGTTGAAATAGTGGTTTTTCTGTGTAACTTTCATACTTGGATGTGGTGTCTAATAAATGTTGGTTGAATTCAAACAAACTATCATTATCCTGTTGCAACACACTTTATACATAATAAAATATATATATAATATATATATAATATATATATGTAATATATATATAATATATATATATATATAAATATATATATATATATATATATATATATTCAGCCTAGTAAAAGCCATTTGTTGCACAGAACACTGCTAAAAAGGAACTGAGTTCAGAATTTGTCCACCAAACGTAACTTCATTGAGTACAATCAGGAAGCAACATGGCGTTGCCCATCAAGTCTCGGCCACACCTTTCTCTACCCCCTGTGGCTGCATGCATTGACTTCCTGAATCACATTAGCTATAAGCAGACACACATGAACTAGAACATGTGCTCTTAATAATAACTGCTTTGATTTATAAGAGAACTTGAGGTGCTTTTCTCTGCATTTGTGGCCAAAGGCCTCACTCAGACATTAAGCCTGCTGTCCCCATGGTATGCAGACTCTGTCCAGGGCTCCACTTACATTATTTTTCTGCAAGACCCTCAGTGCCTTGTTGACATTGTTCAGGGCATGAACTCTTGTGGATCCTTTTTCTTTTGGCTGAAAACAAAATGAGAACAATGTTTACTGCCCAGAAGACAGACTGACAATGGACTACAAATGGAACAATTTATACATTTCACTTCTAAGTTTGAATATCTTAAATGAACACAAACTGTGAGGCATTAATATAATGAATTTAAGTGCTTTGGGCTAATTGTCCTTGTCACAGGACTTTCATAGCATGAATTGGACACTCCTCAAGAAAAATGATAGCATTTTTGTGTTCTTTACAAAAGCTATTTTGGTTATGATCTCTCCATTCTGTGGCCCCATAGGGGTTACTGCATGACCAGAGAGAGGAACATCAGCGTGCACAAGGACATTTGCTAATAAAATAGATAAGTGAGTTAATTTCTCGACTTTTTAGGAAAGTTTCAAAGAGATTTGGGCCTAGCAAAATTATATAATGCCAAATAGGGTAAAATGAAACAATTTCTGTGAATATTATCTTAATTTTCTTCATCACTGAAGCTCAGACCTCAATCACCTTTGATGTTCTAACCCTCACAATCACAAAAGTCATATCCTGTCCTTTAATTTTTAAAATAACATCTGCATAATTCATTACAATATAGGGCTTAATTAGTTCATTCAGTTGTAGAGTTGGGTTGTTTTTTGGGTTTTTTTAGCTGACACATCTTGCCACCTGTTGGCAGCTCAGTGGCAGCTCAGCTCGGGCCGGGAATTGAACCGACGGCCCTGTTGGTTAGAGCTCGCACTCTTGAGTGAGCTCTTAACCAACTGAGCTACTTGGCCAGCCCCAGTTGGAGAGCTTTATTTAGAAAGTCTACTATTATGATGCCTGCTGCATTTCCTCCCAAAATGACATCTACCCTCTTAATCAATTTTTAAGTGCATAATAAGATACTACTAACTACAGGCACAATGTTTTAGAGTCAGTCTCTGGAATTTACTCATCTTGCATAACCAAAATTTTATATGAACAGCAACTCCCATTTTCATATCTCATATTAAATGTTCTTAGCACAATAAAAAATAAATTAAATGTAAAAGGTTATGCATAAAAGCCTTTATAAAAATACATTCAATAACAAAGATACCAAATATTGAAAGCAAATATCTATTAATAATCATAAATTATATACTGAACATTTTCACCTTCTTCCTCTGCATGATGCCAAAATGAAAATAATACTGTGAGGCTGTTTCATTCAGGAATAGGTCCTATATTGCCAGTTACATCAGTAATTGGTAAATTAGTGAATTTTATTAAGATCTCATAATACTATGCTGAGTCTGTTCCTGGTGTGAAATTCTCCTAAGGTTAATGTGAACTTCCTTGTAAATAAGTCACGTACCAGTTTTTGCCCTGTCAGGCCTTCGAGAAGGTCTAGGAGGCGTCTCCCATCCTGCAGGTCACTGAAGAGGTTCTCTATGTGCTGCTTCCCAAACTGAAATATGAAATATACCCAATTAAACAAATCAGTGATCCATTTCCATGATTATGCCTTTGGAAATTTAAAGCTATGTTTAAGAATATTTAATGTATCTAATTCTTTTTATCTGCCCTAGGTGATGGATAAAAATAATTTCCAAGTAAAAAACAAAACAACAATATACAATCCTTACTATGTCAAATCTATTAAATTTTTTAAATAACAAGGGTTGGATTTCTGTAGCTTAATTGAGCAATGTTTTTCAATGATGATTCTATGAAGGAGAGAAAAAATGTTAAAAATATCAGGCAACTGGGCTGCCGGCTGAGTGGCTCAGTTGGTTAAGAGCTCACTCAAGAGTGCGAGCTCTGAGCAACTAGCAGTTCGATTCCCGGCCCGAGCTGAGCTGCCGCTGAGCTGACAACAGGTGGCAGGATGGCTCAGCTAAAAAAATAAAAAATTAAAAAAATATCAGGCAATTGGTGATGGGGAAAGTAACTACAGAAAGAAACAAAGACATTATACAATTTGTCCTGGATAAGTGCATGAAATTTCACCGTTTTGTGTACTTGGAAAGATAATACATAATCATAGAGGGTTCACCATCTTTCACCCATAAAACAAGTTTTCTCTGCACATATATAATATTTTGCATGCTGCCTCAGAATGACACATTCTCATATTAGATGGCTCAAATTTTAGAAAGATCTGATATATATTGAGTTGAAATTGGCCAGTAAAAGCTTTTCATCTTTTTTCTTCAGTTCTTTACTTGGGAATTATACTAAGAAAAAAATACCACTAATAACATGTAATATTTTTGAAGTAACTACTCATGAGAAACACTCTGCTAAATGAGCAGATCTTATAATCATTGTGACATTTCTGTGAAGTTACCATTAATATACTCATCTTACAAATGAGACAAAGAGATAAAACATGTTGCCCTTTGTCACAAAACTAGAAGGTGATCAAGCCAAGAATCTGATGCAGATCTGTCTAACTCTTGGGGTGCTTGTGTTTTCTATTTTATCTTACTGCTTCCTTAGCCTTTTCCTCCTTCCATCTGATTATCTTTCAAATATTTTATTTATTCTGCCATGCCTCCAAATATTTCTTTCTCTGGTTTAAAACCTACGATCCCGTCATATGAAATCATTCAGAGCTCTTCCATCACCCATGTTATCTAGAAAGCCTTAAGTTTTCAGTGACAGATATTTACTGAGCACCAATAAACCTGAGCTTGGTGCTAGGGCACAAGCAAGTAAATCAGACAGACATGACCCCAACCCTTGTGGAACTTCAAGTGCAGCAGGGAAAAGAAATAATACTAAAAGGTAATACTACACAGAAGCAGTCAAATGGACCCTGGAGCACATAACTGTGGCGACTCCCATAGTCTGAGGATCAGGAAATACTTTCCCCACAATATCAGGTGATGGGTCTAACATTAGCCTTTGAGGGATTGGGCTCTTCTCATCCACTCCTTCAATCTCATAGAAACATTGAATCTCACACAGGTCAGGAAAATCAAGAAGAGCCCTGGTTTTCAGGCAAAAGACATTCCTGAAGCTTCTAAGATTGAAGACATAGGATTTGGGCTCTCCCTACAGCCATGATAAGTCCAGTCAATGTCTAAAAGGTATTTCAATTAATGAGAACACTGACCTCAGCAAAAAAATCCACCAGCTCCTTTCTGTTCAACTTTGGGAATCAAGCCACATATGTGCTTTGACAAAGAAAACTACAAGGTAGTCTTGAAATTCTACTCAAATAGTTCTGCTTAGAACTCCATAGCAGGGCCGGTCAAGTGGCACATTGGTTAGGAGCTGGCTTGGGATGCCAACTCTGAGCAGCAGGGCCCCAGTTCGGATCCCACATGAGGGCCAGTGACACTGCACCCTCTACAGCTAAGATGGTGAACAACAGCTCAACCTGGAGCTGGGCTGCTGTGAGTCTCCGGTGATGGCATAGGCTGGAGCCCCTGCTGCAGTGGGCTGCCATAAGCTACTGTGTGTGGCCGGCAGCCAGTGTGAGCTGCCATGAGCCACCGTGAGCGGCCGTCCAGAGGCCGGCAATCGAACTGCCTCACCCGGGAAGAGCACAATGATAATACCAACATGGGCCAGTAAAGTGACGTCCTCCAAAACTAGACTGAAGAACAAAAGGACAGCAACTTGTCTGTCCCCCTTCCCGGATTCCCCAGCGCTGTTCCCCTCCCCCAATTCCCCAATAAAATCTTTTAAAAAAACAAAAACAAGGGCCAGCTGAGTGGCTCAGTTGGTTAGGAGCTTGCTCAAGAGTTTGAGTTCTGAGCAACAGCGGTTCCAGTCCAGCCCGAGCTGAGCAGCCGCTGAGCTGCCAACAGGTAGCAGGATGGCTCAGCTAAAAAAAAAACAAACAAAAAACTCCACAGCAAAAAGAAAACAACAGAAAACACTAACATGCTGGAATTTTTTTTAAAGCACCTTTACTACCCATAATGTACAAGTAAATCTTAAAACAACAATACCATTTTCATGAAACTTTAAGGAAAGTTTTCTACTAATGAGTAAAGAAAATGAATGTGTGCTTTATGATAATTCTGTCAAGCATCTCATACATAACCTGGAATAACTTGCCATTTGGGAGTAATATTAAAGTTTTATTTCCTAATTGGTTGAAGCTCTACAATGCCTTGAAAATGCTGTTTTGCTTTTTTTATTTTTTCAAGAGCAAAATTTTACAGATGCTTTTGAGAAGTGTGTGGCTTCGAAACTTATTGACAAAAAGAATATTGCACACTGAAATGTGTCAAGTTTTGAAGAAAATAAAATATAAGTAGCTGACAGAGATACTTTTTCTTATTAAAATATAGATCTAGATAGCTAGATAGATAGATAAATGATAGATACAATAGATAGGTAGATGATAGACAGGTAGACAGATAGATAGATAGACAGACAGATAGATAGATAGAAAATGTGGGTGGCAAAATGTTCATTGAAGAAGAGCAGAGACAGGGAAAGAGGTAAACCTTCAAGTACAAGATAAAGCGTGAGCCCCAAGGCCATAGGGATTATCAAGCATCCAAGACACGAAGACCAGAAAGCTTATGCTTTGGGGAAAGGAGCCTAGGAAAAGGTCAATAAAGCAAACAGGATCTTGCTTTGATCCAAACTTATACACACAGACTGGTATTTTATAATTCTCCCTTTGAAACTGGAATCAAACAAAATGGAGAGGGAGTAAAGGATCCTAGGCTAGTCAGAGGCCTCCAGGCACATCTAGTTGGGGCACCAAAAAAGCAGTGAGACGACAGAGAAAAAGACGGTTCCTGGCATCATAGATGACTTTCAAAACTCACAGAATCAATGATGTATTAAAGTATCCCCATTGAAATCCAATTTCTCCTTGTTATATACACGACATTCTCTAGTAGAGCACTTCTCAGACTGTTCTACCTAAGCATCCTTTCAATAGATGAGATGGAATGAATTTACCCCCGAGTCTGGCAGCATAAATCACACAGTGACTACGGGTTTAAAATTTCTATGAAAGCATATGTTTTAAGTTAGCTTTCATGGCCATGTTGCATCCTTCTCTTAATGTATGTCTGTTTAAACTTAAAAGCAATTTCAAGCACTTTTGAGTGAAATTTCTCCTACGGTCTCATTAAAATTAAACTGATGCTTAATGAAATGTTCAATATTTAGCTTGTAATCTCATGTAACTTGAGGTACTGTCTTATTCCTGCTATAGTATGAATAGCCCAGGGATAGAAAACATTTCATTTCTCTTGGATTGCTTTCCTGCCTTTCCTAGATTCAACTCTTCATGCCACAGCATTATAGATATGAGCACGCATTTCAGAGACAGAAATAACAGACTTGTGAATTATTCACTAGCTGTGCTGTCTCAGGCAAATTACTTAACCTTTCTGAGCCATAATTTACTCTTTAGTAAAATCAGGACTGAAATAATACCACTCTAGAGCACTCCTCTGAGATATAAATGAAACAGGGTAAGTGTGTTGTGCAGACTTGGCAAATAGTGGGCACTCAATAAATACAGATGGTTTTTATGATTTATTCTATTATTCCTTGCCTTCTCTTTCTTTGACCAAAATGCACACGCAAATACAATTATTGTAAAATATTGAATCTGCCAGAAAGTACAGACCTCACATACAATGTGTTCAGTTTTCTCATAGTTTGGTATCCCTGTAGGAGTGAAAGTCAAGGAAAGAAGATGTCACCCCATATTCAGTTGCTAATACTGATCAATGTGGATGGCACAGGGGAAATACTCAGAAGCTTCAAGTGCTTTTTCGTTTTTCTTGTTCTTTTGCTTTTTTTAAAATAAGTCTTCTTTTATTTTCCTCCCTTTTCATCTTCCACAACTACATGTCTTTTTGTTGCAAGTGACATTTTATGTCATAAAAACAGTAATTCTTCCTCAACATCCCCTATCTGTAATGGCTTTCTTTTCAAGTATGTGAAAATTATTTTGTAAAACACACAAAACATTAAACCCTCTTTGGGCCATATAACCCTGTGGCTCTCTGTCTTCAATCCTTTCATGACTAATATGTTCCTTAAAAAGTGAACTTTTGATATTACTCAGAAGTTTCCTGTATTCACTAATATATTGGCTTCTTCCTTGCTAACCCAAATAACAAGATGAAAGGATCATAAAATGAGAAAACAATCCTTCTAGATCATTGACAGTATGATATAAAGAATAGAGAATTTCTTTATATCTTTATATAGACAATGTTAAAAAAAAAGTCAGACAGATTGATTGGTAAGTCGCATAAACAAAGTAAAAAAAATTGAAAAGGGGACAGAAATGCATTTGTGAAAATATTTAAATGGCTTCTGACTCTTCAGAGTTATTTCAATCTTCTAACCTGAAAAAATAGAGAGATCAATACAACATTCCATAGAAGGTAAAGAGCACAGGAACAATTTATCATGGCCTTCTGGTTACACAAAGGTCACACTTTATTTAGATATCTCTGTTGCTCAGAAAGT